ACCCAGCCAGATTATGGGTAGGCCCTTGTTCAAATGCTCAGATATTATATCATTTGATACTAGTATGCTTTAAACATAGTAGGGCATCTTGGAATTCCTTTTAATTTGGAAATCTTTATGCACAGTGTAGAAAAGACATTGGAGAAAAAAAAATAATAGGAAATTTGAGAAAAAAGTTCTCAATGACTTGGATTGTGTTTGAGGAATTAGGAAGTTCTATACTTAAGGAATTAATTACTCTGTCAAAACACAGGGATGGGGTGTCACTATTGTATGAACCTAAATAATACAGGAGAGGGAAGGTTCAAAAGTCACAGGTTAGTAGTACAGGAAACAGAACTCATTGTCTTCTGCCATTCCATTACAGATGTGCTGGTTTTCATGTCTCACGTGACTCAGACATAGCCAGTATTAGTTACTTTTCTGTTTTTATGCTAAACCACCATGATCAAGGCAACTTCTTCTAGGAAGAGTTGGGCTTACTGTTTCAGAGGGTAAGTGTCCATCATGGTAGAGGCACAGCTGTAGCAGCTGCTAGAACAGAAACCTGAGAGCTCATCTTTAAGAAGCAGGTATAGGATGCAGAGAGAAACTGGAAGCAAGCAAAGCTATATGTGCTCATGACCCATCCCCAGGGATGTGCTTTTTCCAGCATTGCAGCCCCTACTAAACTGTCCCAAACAGCACCACCAACTGGAGCAAAGTGTTTAAATACTAGGAACTCACTACCACTGAGCTAGATCTCCAGCCTCCAAACTGGATTCTGAAATGAGGGTCTTCTTGTGAGACTGAGCCCTTTTGTTCATAGGGTGTACACTGCTCACTTTCCAGGTCATACACAGATACACCAGCAAATTAACACTTCCTTAAAAGTGTACAATTGAAAACTCCACCATCTAGTTGAGGATTCTAATTTTAAAAAACATCATTGACCTCAAAGAACTTGACAAAGGGTTAAATTATGTTTGAGGATGTGCTAAGTAACTGGTATGGAAATGTAGTAATTTTTGAAAAAGAAAATATCAAGTGAATTCTTAAGTTATTCATTCATTTAGTTCCCATTGGATGACTCCAAACATTAGATTATATTTTATTAGCCTAGAATTTATACAATCCTTTTTCTCTTCCAAATGTGCTTTGGTCCTTATTTTAAAAACCAGCTGTGAGAGGTTGGTCAATTATATTTAAATGCACAACTTTATTATACAAGTAATGTAATCATAGACTACAGGTGAAGCATAAGAAATGGCTTAGTGAGATTTCCATCTATAGAGTAGCCACAAGAACCATTTTAAAAGGTAACTTACTTACTCCTGATGTTGACTTTAAATGTTTGAATATGTCCCCAAAGACTCTTAATGCTTTGTTCTTGGAAACAGTGGCTTGTTTTAGATTAATTCCCACAGTGTCACAGTGTATCGTTGCCATCTTGGCAGTGTAGTAGTAGTGATAAACATGTTGATTTTCTTAGGGTTACATAAATGCTGACATCACATGCTCAACCTTTAAGCATTATCATTTCTTATTCATTTCCATGAATAGGAAAAATAAAATAGGTTGGTTTTAAAAAAAAAAAAAAAACCTTCTTCATCCTATGTTAGTTGATTTGTTCTCTTATGAAATGTCTGAAGTAAAATGTAAGCTGAGGACTTCCCATTTCAGTGATATAAAAATTAAACATAGGGAAGTTACTTCCAGTAACAAAGAAAGTAGTTTCTAATGCATTACTACTGGGCAGTTAGAACGACTGAAGCCATTCATCCATGGGGACAGGTGTTCAGAGGTTCTAAAGGAATGAGTAACTTCCTCCATGCCCCGCCTCCAGGGAGAGAAAGGAGAGGTTCTGGAGCCAGTTAGTGATGAGTGTCAGTGATTTAATTACCCATGCCTTGTAATGAAACTCTTAAAGACTAAAGCAAAGAGACCAAGGGAGCTTCCAGGTCAGTGAGTCCAGGGATGTGCTGAGAGAGTGGTCATCCTAAAGAGGTCAGGGAAGCTCCGTGTCACCCTTTTTCTCATCTTTGTTACAGGGCTTCACTTTACTTTGACTGTTCCCAAGTTGTATACATTGTAATAAAGCACCACTATAAAGATTGTGTATTCCCAAATTCCTGGAGTCATTCTAATGATAAGGATTAAGGAATTTGATATGCTTAAATTCATAACCAGTTCAGAAGTATGGATGGCTACTTGGATGTGAAATTTGCATCTTAAATGAAGATCATCTTCAGCCTTTATTCAGACTATGCTACTAACTCTCCATAATTGGTTTTCAGCTTAAATTGAATTGTGGGAAATCCAGTTGATGTTAAAGCAATGTATCTAGAGAAAGGAGGAAAAAAAAAAAATTTAAAAACCCAAACTAACAACCTCCATCACCACCAAAACAACTCCAGCCATGCAGCTCTCAACATTTGTTTTGTGGCTTTTGTTTATGAGCATTATTCAAGCTCATTCTTTTATATTTTCTCAAGAAATCTTACAGGTGGCTCAGTGACTTTTCTACTTCGTAAAACTTCGACACACCTTATTAAATGAAGGTTCAAAACCACATAAACTATTTTATTAAGTAAACATATCAGCCAAGCATCTACTTTGTGCTATAAACTAGGTTTTTCCTTCCTTGCATGTGCCTTGTGCCTTTCTTTGAGGAGGGCCCTCAGACTCATTTTTATTTTGCTAGTTTTTTCCCTAATTTGGTAGCCAGCTAAGACAATATTTTAAGTATCTTTTTTTTCAATGCTAGAACATTACTTAAAAATTTTTTGAAGTAACATTTTAAAGTCCATATTTCCATCTAGCTACCTACCCACTCACCTAGACTGCTTTAATTTGGTTATATCAGGTTTAGTCATCTGTGGATTATTTGTGATTGCTCTAGGTGGGAATATATGAGAAATTGCTTATGTAAAAACCACTTTGCTTTATTTTAATTTTAGTATTATTATTATAATAATAGCACCTTACACGTTTTTAAAATCCATAGCACTAAGTTAATGGATGAGTTGACATTTTCCTGAGCATTTATTTACTTAATGAAAAAAAAATGTTTCTTTGATTAAAGATTTTGAAAAGTTTTACAGGATTTTGAAAGTTTTACAAAGTATAAGAATGAGTAAGCCATCTGTAAGACTTCTTGAGAAATTATAAAGCAAGTGCTAATAAGACATCAGAAGAGAGATCAAATAGACTAGGAGAGCACAAAGCATATCTTCTGTGATGTAGAGAAAGAACTTGGAAAGAAGCAAAATAACCCTTTGGAAATGAGAGGAGTAAATGAAACACCATGGGTCTAGTAAAATACAAATCTTGATTGTTCATGCATTGACCAACAGACATAAAAGTGGAGGAATGTAAGTGTACACTGCCACTAGGAGCAATGTACTGAATGAAACTAAGTTAACTAGAAGAGTTATTTCATAACTGCTACCACAGTGAAAGCATTCCATACAATCCATTGTCTGTGTCACTGTCTCATTTATTTTAAAATTTATAAGCTAGATTGAACCCATGGCCTCCTGCGAGATATATAT